TGGAGATGCGAATGCTGCATTCTTTTCTGAGCAGACTCTGACAAGAAAAACTGGGGGAGGACCTAATAATCTTGGGTTCTTACTGTGGTGGAAATAAAAAGAAATGGTAGGAAAGAGGGAACAAAAAAGCAAAAGGAAAGTGAGGATGAGATCTCAAACAAATGTTCGCTAACCATATGTCACAAAGCTTTCTCTAGACCTAGTTACCAGCCAGAGCCATCATCTCTGAATTTCCATTTTCTGATGACAATAGAAATCCTTGTTATCTGACTCTCTAGATTAAATCAAGCCCATCCTTTCTGTGAAAATGATACCCATTAATTGACGCTTGGAGCTAATGTAATAATGTCCACTCAGTTGAAGTATTTTCACACCCTTACTTATGTTAAAAGGGAACTCTGGTGGCCTAGTGGGTAAGGAGCTGTACTGCCAACCCCAAAGCACGTGGTTCAAATCTACTAGCAGCTAGATGGGAGAAAAATGGAAAATCTCTTCCCCTGAAATTTACAGCCTCCCAAAATCCACTGGAGGGCCAGTTAAAAATTGGTCTGACTCAATAGCAATGAGTTGTTATAGTAAAGAAGCCTGGGTGGTACTGTGGTTAAGTGCTTGACTGCTAACCAAAAGGTTGTTGTTGATGCTGAGAACTGTAAAGTTGGAACCAACCCATAGCTGACCCTCCAGCGGGTTTTCAGAGGCAGTTAATCACACAGGAGGAGACTGCCCATCCATCTCCTGTGGAGCAGCTGGTGGATTCGAACTGTGCGCGTTCAGGATTGCAGCACAGGTTCTTAACACTAGGCCAGGCTGGTGGTTTTAATCAAGCTATTCCATGAGAGAAAGACAGAGCAATCTGCTTCTATAAAGATTTATAGCCCTGAAATCTTAAGAATTCCGTGAAATCTGCTTAGCAATATATGGTCACTACGAGCTGGAAATAATTCTACAGCACAGGGTTGGTTTTAGTTGTTGCTAAGTGCTGGTGAGCCAATAATAATTCATAGTAACCTTATGTATAAAAGATAAAAATCTTGCCTGATCCTGTACAATCCTCACAAACTCCACTGTGTTTATTAACAGTTAGTTGTGCTGTTCCAAACTTTTTTATGCCAGTTGTGTTTATGTAATTATGTAACTACACTAAATATTATGTAATCCAATATAATGCAAAGTTAGATAAATTATTTTAATAAAAATCAATCCTAATCCAGATCCCAAAATCATGCTTCAAAGAGAGAGGAAAAAGGGATCACCAACTTTATACAGAAAGGAAAAGATTCTGGATAAGTAAAGCGCTACTGAAAAAAGAGGGGGGAAAAGCAAAGTAGGAGGCTTTATACTTTATCATCTCAAAACCTATTAGCGACATAGGAATCAAAGTACCATGATGTTAGATGCCATACAGACCTGACCTGTGAACAAGTGATCAAAACTTTGCCCTATCCTTAGATCTGCCATGCTCTAGTCCACTGCTACAGTCACTGTGGCAATCCACCTTGGCCAGGATCTTCCTCTCTTCGGTTGACCTTCTATCTGTCCCAGCATGTTTTTGTCCAAAGACTAGTCCCTCCTGACAATATGCCCAAAATATGGGAGACGAAATCGCACTATCCTTGCCTCTTAATGAGCACCTTGTTGTACTTCCTCCAAGATATATTTGTTTGCTCTTTTGCCAATCCAGAACAAAATGCTGCTCAGTCCTGCATTGTTCTCATGACCGACTATAGATAATACTTTTGCTATCCACACCATTTTCAGTGGCTGACTATCTGGAAGAAGATCCCCGGGCATTTTTTAACTAGTCAATCTCAGTGTGTAAGCTCTGCTGCAATATAGTGAGCATCATATCAACACATACTACTCCAGTGATTAACGTATGATGAAGTACACTGGCCAGAAATCAAATTCATGTCTGATGCAAAGAAGGTAAGAATTCTAACACTGAATCACCACTGCCCCTTCAATATTATATAACCTGGTAAAAAAAACATCAAAAGTTTACCCAATTTAAAAGTTTTATTCAAGCAATAGGGACCCGTGATGGCTTAGTGGCAAGGAGATGTGCAGTCAACCCAAAGGCAAGCAGTTCAAACTCACCAGGTGCTCTATGCGAGAAAGGTGAACAAACCCCTCTTGAGCGATTTACAGGTTTTTAAAACCCACTGGAGGGTCAGCTATGTGCTAGTTCTAATTCAATGGGATATAACATTATTCAATTAATAACTAATCTAATTCCCACTCAAAAGAAATTGGACCAAATTATTAAAATACTTATAACTTTTCAAATAAGAGAAAAATGATGGTCAACTGAGTATTCTGTATCATTTTAAATCAAATTTAATCTCTTGATTCACTCCTGAGTAATATTAAATTATTTATCAGACTGGGTTAAAGCATTGAGCATCAAATTGCTTTCCAAGTAGGATACAAGTAGCCAGAGATCACAAAATTCAGAGCAAAAGTGGACACTTAATAATATTTGCAATAAATGTCTAAAAAGATAAATGGTAGAAATAAAAGGAAAACATGTAAGACTATATAAAAACTATTTTCTTCAGTTTACATTAAATTAACACCTGCTCCATCCGAGATGTTAAATGTTTTCAGGAATAAACTAAGGTCACTATATTTGTGTTCTTAAAGATTTTATATTTTATAGCATTTTTCAAAATAATATTTTTGTTATAATTGTTTGAAAAAAGATGAAAAGACATTGTTTCTACCAAAGAGGAATAATTATCTTACCAGAAGCCTTAATAGTTCACAGCCAATTAAACAAAAGAGGCTATGATTAGAGAAATGAGAACTAAATAGAATGGCAAAATTGAATTCATTACAGTTTTATTGAAATTCTTGGTGTGTAGGCTTAGTGAGAGTGCTGTTACATCTTCTTCTAGCACTCCAATCAATCATCTAAAGAATTAGAACTCCCGATATGCACTGGTACTTAATTTTAACAAGGTTTTTTTTTTAATTTAAAAGTATTAGTAAACAATCACAAGTCACACTGCTATGACAAGTAATCCCAGGTCACTGCTAGTACAAAGGAGATCTAATAGAACTGGCTTCAACTCAGAGCTACACTTTAGACTCTGAAAGAATATGTACTTCAAACATATTTAACAGAACTCTCCTTTTCTCATTTTTTTGGAGTGGTTATTGGTTTTGGGTTTTTGCCTTTAAAAAAAAACAAAAACAAAACCAACAACAACAATGGAGGTTTACCAAATAAAGCTAGGTGCCAGGAGTGGGGATGGAAATGAAGATAAAATAATAATCTAAAATATTCCTATTATTTGTCATCACAGAATTCCAAGGTAATTAATATTTATTTTGTGGAAGTTTTATATGTGTTGCTACTACTAACAGCACTTAGAGAAATTTCTGAGCGTTTTCTGATTGTTTCTTTTCAGAAAAGCAAGTAAATACCTCCAAAACAAAGGTGTCCTATAATAAAGAAACCAGTTAAGGCTACAAAGGAAAAAAAATTTAAGAAAACCTATTCTTATCATCTGAAAATAATTGTCATGCTATATGAATCATGCAATACATGCTAACATCCTTGTTAAAATGCTGATTTTTAACTACTTAAACAACCTTACTTGGAGATAAAATAAGCTTCCAACCAATGAAAGATGATAATGGACAACTAACAGGAACGGACTCAATTTGTTAAAGGAAAAGTAAAACTTTTCTAAAGCTTACAATCTTTGCGTTTCAGTGCCAAGCATGAAGTAGGCATTCTACCTATTTGATTTAAGAACTCTCACTGCTGTCAAGTCAGAACTGGCTCACAGCTGATCCTCTAGTAGGGGGCTCTAAGTTGCAAGTGAGGATATTAACTATCTTTCTCCCAGGGAGCAATTGGTGGATCTGAACCACAAGAGAAGCACGGCTTTTTGTGTTAGCAGGGCAACACCCTACAGACTATATTTTAAAATGAGGTAAAACAAAAAAGCCAATCTGTAATTCTTATGTATTTTTGTGGTGCTGATATATGCCATTAAGCCAGAATCAATGAATAGCTGAACCTACAGAGGGTTTTCAGAGGCTATAAATTGCCTGAGACAACAAACTAGATGGTACCCAGCTAATACCACACAGTAGTCTAATCAGAGACACAACTGAAGGTGCCAGTTAGAATAAGAGAAAAATGCAGAATGAAACTCAAATTCATAAAGAAAAGACCAATCTCACTGGACTGTAGGAACCTATTGCTCTACTGTTGTTATTATTCACTATCGAGTAGGACCGAGCCATAGCTGACCCTCCAATGGGTTTTCAGAGGCAATAAACTGCACAGGAGGGAGGAGAATGCCAATTTTCTCCTGCAGAGTAGCTGGTAGCTTTGAACTATATTCCTTTGGGTATGCAGTGAAATTTCCTATCACTAAGCCACCAGTGCGCCCTTAGCACCACTGCTCTAAAACACTCTTTTAACCTGAAACTGAAGCTCCTCCCCGAGACTATGTTTCAGTCTATACTGGCTTATATATGGAACAGAAACATTTGTGAATGCACTACTACAATAAATTATAAGAGACTAAACTGTCAAACATTTATCCAAAACAAAGAAAGCAACGAGGGATAAGCAAACTGGATAGAAAAAAATGCAACGGGCAGAATGGAAATGATGCAAGTGTGGGCACATTGTGGGAACTGTAATGGAACAATTTGCGTATGACTTGTTAAATAAGAAGGTACTTGATGTGTAAACTTTCATCTAAGGCATAATAAAGAGTTTTTAAAAAGTTGTATTCACATTAAATAACTGAGCCAAAATGAGCAGTCCCCACCTCTACCATGCCATAGGAAGTGCCATGTAGAGAAAAAAACCCCTCTAAATTATCTCCATCAGTAAAGATTAACCACAGGTGAGTAGCTTGTCCATTCTAGATTTTACTTTTAATTCTTCATTATTTTCAAGAATTTAACTCTGGCACAAAGAATACCATGTAAAAGAAATAAGGTTCATTTATAATAGAAATGAAAATACTGACCTGTGAAGGTGTACTGGTAAGTTCCATCTTCTCTTGTGATTTTTCTTTTGCTAGTCGAGCAGCTTCTTTAAACTCCTGAAACTTTTCTGCAAACTGAATATACAAAGACTATATACATTAGCCAAGTAAATCACAGGGCCCTCTTTAGTTTTCTTCCCCTCACCGCCCCTAGATTACTGACTATTACATGGGTAACACAGGACCCAAATCAGCTACTGGTATAATATGAAAACAACAGTAAAAGAAAACTAATATTAAACATTTGTTTTGACACCATAAAATACTTTGACAAATCTCACTAAAAAGTACAACCAAGTTAGAATCTGGTATTAGACTTTTAGCAAAACTCACCTATATGGCTCAATTTTCAGCCAAACAAGACAGGCCTATGAAGTGACCCACAAGCACTAGAGAGGCAGTCATTCCTTAGAAGAGTCAACCACATAAGTGCACAAGAGCAGTACGTGCCCAAGGCTAAAACCCAAAGGCAGGAAGTAGTAGGACAGAAGGATTAATGGAAATGAGAATAGATATGCTGTAATTAATAATATAAAACAAAATGTGTAGGAATGGTTGAGCGAAAAGCCAATTCCTTTTCTAAGATTTCACTCAAATTAGATACAAATACTACATAGACTTATGAACCTTTAAAAAAATTAGCTGGCTTACTTATATGCCTCTCTGGTGGATTAAGTGGTACAGTGATTAGGCACTCAGCTGCTAGGATGAAAGGTCAACAGTTCAAATCCATGAGCCACTCTATGGGAGACAAACAGGGCAGTCTGCTGCTTTAAGGATTACAGCCTTGGGAGTAATGGGGCAGCTCACCTCTGTCCTACAGATTAGTTATGAATTAGAATTAACTGAAAGCAATTGGTTTGATTTTCTTAGTTTGGTTTCATCAGAAAGAATTTACAAAGGTCAAGGTTGTGGCTGGAGATGGGGCTGAAAGCACGGAAAGATAGGTATGCAATGCTTTCCTTGTAACGAAAAATGGAAATTTTTATAAGCATTTACTACTAAACATTATTTAGGGCACATTTTTAACTTTTTCTAGAATATATTAAGTATATATATGACATTATATAGTGCCACTTTATTTTCAGTAGTAAAATAATATTTACTATTACATTTGATCGTGAGCTCTGGTGGCTTTGTGGTAAGGGATTATGCTGTCAACATGTGCAATCTCTCTCCACTGCCTCCGAAAACCTGCTAGAGGGTCAGCTATGTGTCATTCTGACTCAATGGTACACAAAACCCACATTACATTTGATGACAGTAAGATTTAATAACATTATGGACATCATTCAAACAGCATTTAAATAGATTCCCACAGCTAACGGAGAGCAGAGGTAAGGGATAACATACTCCATAAAGGCCTTTTAAAAAGGCAACAATTTTAAAAGAAAAAGTACTGCACACAAAATGCTGACTTTTAGGAAATTATAAGATAACCTGATAACAAGTAGTGTCTATTGATGTTTCAGAAACAAAGATATATATGCATGCTGTAGCTCTTCTAGTTCTTTTGATGTTGAACCATACAAAATTCTTAGTGACAGAGCCAGGATTTATGCTTGTTTCATTTATGCAAAAGATGGCAAATTTCTCTGGGTCTCCCACAGCCTGTAAATCAGTAAAATTAGTCTTTAAAGTAGCTGATAATAAATTATCATTTTGCCATTTCCAAATTAAAATATTCTGCAGAAACAAACCATAAATTCTTGGCGCTAGCTGGAGTGAAGTAAAGAAGAGAAAACAGTATGACTGACACAATTTAACTGACAACTCCTTATTGCTAATCTGTAGTATGAAAAATGTAACAAAAACTTTATAGTAATAAAGTTACTTAGGATAAAAATTATTTTATGTAATACGTTTGTTTCAAAATGAATCCATTATTTAGTTACTATGTTTTCAAGTCAAGCATTTCAGATGGTTGAATATAATTCTATTTTCCAATAAAATTATAGCAAGCTCTGTTGTCCTAGTGAGGAGAAGCTGCAATGTGATCCTGAAAACACACAGTTCAAATTCACCAGCTGCTCCACGGGAGAAGGAAGACTCCCATGCAACTAGAAGGGCAGCTATGGGTTGGTTCCGACTTGATGGCACACAACAACACTCTAAAAGAAAGTTCTCCAGAAAAGTTTTGAGTACTGGAACAAGTATTGATATAAAAGTATAGTTTCCTAAAAGTTCTGTTTTTGAAGAGGGTGAGGAAATCATGAAATAGTTCTTCCAATTGTGATGGGAAAGTCTTCTGTTAGGGACCTCTCTAAAGTACTCAAGAGCAACGGTGTCTCTTTGGAGACGAAGGTGCGCCTGATACAGGCCATGGTCTTTGCAATCACTTGTTATGAATCAGAGAGCTGGACAATGACTAGGGAGGACAGAAGGAGAATTGACGCCTTTGAGCTGTGTGCTGGAGAAGAGTATTGAATGTACCATGGACTGCCAAGAAAACAAACAGATTCATCATAGAGAGGGTTAAACCAGGCTACTCCTTGGAGGCAAAGATTCTGGGGCTTCGTCTGACATACTTTGGACATGTTGCAAGGAGAGACAGGTCTTTGGAGAGGGACATCATGCTGGCTAGAGTAGAGGGACAGCGCAGGAGGGGAAGACCCTCTATGAGGTGGATTGATTCAGTGACTGGGGTAATCGGGATGGGTGTGTCAGAGCCAATGCGATTGGCACAGGATAGAGCAGGGTTTAGGGCTGTTGTACATAGGGTCGCTATGAGTCGCAAACAACTCGACGGCACATAACAACAACAAATCACTTGGAATAACTGTATCCTTATACTGGGCGCTGTCTCTCTACTGTGTACTTAAAACTTATAGCAACAGTTCAAGAAACCAAAGCAGAGAACTCTGGTTTATTTTAATCATCCCATAGACAGTAATTTATAATCACTTAAGGCAAAAGTTAAAATTGTTTTAAGACTGAGCTTTAAGTTATAATTTTTATTAAAAAGTTAAGAGAAACACTTGTAAACTATACAATGGAAAGGAATCCTGCCAACTAAAACAAAGGAAACCAAGTTGGTTATTTCAACCATTGAACTATTGAATACATTCTCAAATCAGTACCTTTTAAAAAATAAGAGTGAAGAAATTTAAACAATATATTTACTGTTAAGAATCTGGTTTCGGATTAAAAGCAGTTTAAGATTTCATGTAAATATGAACAATATCTTTAACAAAAAACTTGATTTCTCTGCACTTCAACCATTTCAACTCAAGTCATCATCAGATTCTGTACATTATAATAAACCATGTGTAAAGTGTTTCAAAAGTACAGTGATACTTTTAAGGAATGACTAAAAAAGAAAGTCTTGAAATTTCAGTATAATTTGAGCCTTCTGGGCATAAAATTTGAAGAGTATAAGTAACTGTAATCATCTCCTTAATCATGTTAGTATTCTAAGATTGTTTCCTTTTCTCTACAGTGTCTTTCCATGAAATAACCACAAGAATTTAAGGTGCTGCTGGTTGAGTGCCTGCATGCCTTTTACTTACAAGCAGAACAAATTTTATTTCTATCATTTAGCCCAATGATGCTCAGCATTTAATTGGCCTTTCTGTCCACGGCAGCTCGGCAGATTATCAAAGAACACCTCCCATTGCCTGCTCCTGCCTTTGAGGGCTGAGTCCATGACCAGCTGAAGCACTCTTAAGCACATTCCCCTAACTACAATAATTTGCATGTTCCTGCTGTCTGTCATATAAAAAAGCTGAAATCTATAGCACTACCAGCTTGAGTTTTCACAATTTAGAAAAGCTTGGTGCTTATTTATCTTACTTTGTAATATCACAGACAACCTCCAACTGAGGGTGCTAATCCCTGTGCAAAAGTGATTCTAAAGCAATAATGTCTACCTTTTATTTCCTAATACATAGTTCAATAACAACCACACAAATCCCTTTCAATAAATGGTGACAATTTTTAATGTATATAATAATTTTTCCAATTGACAGCAGCATGATTTCTCACTTCTTGCTGTTACTATATATTAAGACTTGAAGAAATATATTTTCAATCAAATCTTATGGTTCAGCTTACTTTTGAAAGATGATGTTCAGAGGAAAATCCCAGTCCATAAACAGTGTTTGCCCGGCTATCGGCCCACTGGCCAAACTTCTGAGATGTTTTAGTAAATGTCATGTTTGGAGTGATGGTGCTGTTTATTATTGCCTGAAAAAGAAAATATAGGGAACCAGTCGAAATAGCAAACAGACATTTAAACAAAAGATTATTTAGTTACATAATATTACAAGATTCCTAATGGAAAGTAATATTAAATGTACAAAGATAATTTACAGTGTTTTATGACTTGTGTAAAAACATAGCTAACTAAATTTACTGGCATGCTTGTCTGACAAGAATGCTCAACACCTTTCATGCAAAGTAAGTTTTGCTATGATCTAAAAAGTTTTCAGCATGACCAGTTTATTCCATATCAATGATCAGGATAAAGAACAGTTTTGAATGACAATTACTAGAAATAGGTCTTAGTAGTTTTTATCTCTAAACACACTTTCAAAAATTAATATATTAATAATATTAATGTTTATTTTCTAAATTCCAAAATCAAGGAGTTTCTTAAAGCTGACGTACCTGAAATATATCATAGTTTTTTAAAACAACAAAAAAAATTTTAATCAATTAATATGTCTTTGCTTGAGGTAAAACAAATTTAAAAAAATTGAGAATGCCATTTCTTTTCCTGCCAGATGTCACAAATTCAGATTAACAAGAAAAACTATCATTTCTATTTACCACATAGTGTCTTGGAAATTTTGTATTTCATTCAATATGCTATTAAATATTAAGTTGGTGATATTCTGTATTACAAATTGGGCTGCGAAGTGAAAAGCAGGCAGTTTAAAGATCAGGCTGACTCTCAGAAAGATCTACACAGTGGAAAACTCAATGGAGGGTGTCAGGAGTTGGAAGTAATCCTATGGTTATGGATATTTGATAATCACTGTAACAAACTTTAAGCTTTTAAATATGATAAGTTCATTCCCTCTGGCAATACTGTAAGAATATAAAATAATTTTCAGTTAGGCTGTCTAATGCCTTCTAGAAGTAAGATTAAAAGGTTATCCCAATAATTTAAAAATGTACAAGATTTAAAACTTATCAGTTGTCATCTGGTCAAATCTTAAGGACAAAATGAAAATAAAAAATTTCCAAAACAAAGTTAAATTTGTTTACCACATGAACAAAAGTATAAATGTAAATATGTCTAAGGCATTAGTGACGCTGTAAAAATAAATGCATGACACTTGTTCTATTGAAGAGGGCAGCAAGCAGAGAGCTAACTCTCATACATAATAGAAGTGTTCTCTATTGCTTTGAGAGCCCCTACTCTAAGAGTTTTATCTCTGAAAAAAACTGATATACTCTGAATCTTCCTTTATCTTCAGTTCAAAAGCTGCTTTTCCCAATGTGTCACTTTAGATACCACAAAGAGGAGATAAGAACTGCTCTAACTTGTGGGATTGTCACCAAATGAAATATTAAGTGGGAAAGAATTAACAAATAAAAAAAAAAATCATTAAGTAACCTAATCACAATTCCCACAAGAAATGTGGGAAATAACAATGAGTAAAATAGTAGTATAATTATAGCTTATATTCTATAGTAAAAGTAGTCAATGAATGATAGTAGTTTACCAATGACTTTTACAGAGGGAAATGTAATGTAAAGGTCAGGAAAGTAAGATGTAGCAGAGATCGAAAGGCATGAAAGGAAGGATGAGCAGGCACCACAATTTGCTGGGACTGAGGATGGGACTGGGGATGACACAGTTGAGCTAGATCTGATCACATTGAAGGAGAGAAGGCGACTTTACAGGTGACCCTAATAACTCATAAGTCAAGGTTAACAATAGGTCTTATTCAGAAAATTGGCCAATGTACAGCTGGTTTCTATTGACCTCTGTTTTAGCTATTCAAAATGAACTTCTTCCTGCATTTAAGAATTCCTGTTTAATCCTTACTCTGAAGTTTTCCATACCTGTATATAACCTGTTGTAGTTTGTGGAGGTTTTCAATACTCCATATTGGAGAAAAATGTTAAATGATAGACAATCTCACTGTCTTTTTGATTCCTTCGAATTCTCTGAATAGAAGTCTAATATACAACCTATCTGAAGTCAAGTATAAAATCTATGCGGCTGGTGTAAATGGCTACAGTGCTCTACTGTAAACTGAAAGGGGGCTGGAATCCCACAGGTACCTTGGAAGAAAGGTCTGGAGATCGAATTCTGAAAAATTAGCCACTAAAATCCCTATGTAGCGCACTGCTGCTCTAATACCATGGGATTGATTAGTCAAAACCAACTTGATAGAAACTGGTTTTCAATTCATCCTGAAAGAAATGTTAGTTCTTTAGAATAACTATATGTCTCATCCACAAGAGCTCTTGTCCTGTTAAGTGAAAGAGGCAAACATACTGAGTCTTTAAAGATCAAGCAGTGTGCCTCTGGTCATGCCGATAGCACTGGAATAAGATTTGAAAAAGTTATAGGAAGCTTTGTACAACTGAAAGGCACCAAATGAGAGCAAATAAATGTTTTCTAGTCAATTATGAGTTTTCCATAACTCAATCATAAAGTGCATAAATTAGGATGAGGTGGGGAGGAGAAAAGCACTCCTTTAACCATGTCAAATAACTTATTACTGCCAACCATAAAACAACCACTCCTGCAGGGAATGGCAGTCATTAGCAGCATCAGTTCAAAAATTCACTAGACAAAAGAAAATGTGACAGAAACAACTCTGCTACAGAAGACCGTTGTTAGTGTTGCTGTTAGGCATCATCAAGTCAACTCCATACCAACCCTAAGCATGAGAGAGAGAAACTGCTCAATAAAGAAAATGAAGCTTTTTTCACAAGGAGTTAATATTCTGTTCAGCCAAGTATATTCAATAGCTTAAAATGTCAGAGCATTAGTTCATATTATCTCAGAAATACAAGATGATTAATCACTAAAATTCCATGTGTAAAAGTAACTCAAAGTATTTAATTCTTGTGAAGGTTGAGTGAGCAACTGAAATGTATTTAAACACATGCATATTTTTGTGTGTGTGTGTTTTGTTATTTTTTGTTTATAGAACTAATTTAGGTAACCTCTATCTTTCTATATCTCTTATTTCCCCCATTTTCCAAAGCAATCTTTTTCTGATTTTTTTTATGAGAGAAAAACATTATAGAGAATTGGAAGGTGTGAGCTAAGAAAAAGAAAAAAAATAGTTCATTAGTCTGATAAATAATTACAATTTGTTAATTTTACTAAATCAGTGTTACAAAATATGTTGTTGTTGTTGATACCATCAAGCTGGAACCCACCCACAGTTAATCATATAGTAGTTTTTCAAAGGCAGTAAATCCCATGGAAGTTGACTGCCATCTTTATCCCATGGAGCAGCTGGTAGATTCCAACCACGTACCTTTGTGTTGGCAACGCAATTCCTAAGCTATCAGAGCTCCCTGTTACAAAACACAGCAAGTTTTGTCCTTACTAAGTAAAGTTTCACATATGTCAAATATGACTTTTCCTCCAAGTCTTTCTAACCTTCAAGTATGAGTAAGTACTGAACTATATGTTTAACACATGTTCAAAGTACTGTTCAAGGCAACAGTACAAACACTTCATTAATGTAGTAATTTATAAAGTTTAGAAATAAAATATATATGAACAAAGGAAAAACAGATTGAAAGTCTAATAGTAAATAATATTCTCTTTTAGTCCAAGAGAGATGCAAATCAAAACCACTGAGATACTATCTCACTCCAGTAACAGTGTCAAAGTTTCACAGGACAGCAAGTAATACATGTTGGACAGAATGTGGTGAGATAGAAACACTTATACATTGTTGATGGGATTGTAAAATGGTACAATCACTCTCGAAGGCAATTCAGTGCTTCCTCAAAAAGCTGAACATAGTAATTCCATATAACCCAGTTATTCCACTGCTTGAAATATAACCCAAGAGAATGTGAACTGAAGTACAAAATGAGACTTGTCCACCAATGTTCATAGCAGTATTATTCACCATCGCAAGAAAATGGAAACAGCCCAGCTGCCCAACAGCAACCAAATGGATTGAGAAATTATGGTACATTTACACAAAGAAATACTATTCTGCACACAGGAGCAATGATTCTGGAAATGACTACTTAACTGGGAAGGCCTGGAGAGCACTGTGCTGAGGGAACTAACTCAGTCCCATAGGGACAAATACTATATAAAACCATTACTGAAGAGTGAGTATGAGGATCCAAGAGGCAGGGAGGATGAGAATGGGCAGGGAGGCGAAGTGTTAATCACAGGGTCGCACAATTTGATGGGTATGTGTGTGAAGGAAATGGGAAAGATCTGGTGTGAAAAACAATGTATTCAAACTTTGTAAATAAACCAATATAAAATTTTAAAAAATTCTTTTTGTCTACTAACACGTGATTATTTAGTAACAAAGGTCTGAATCCACCCATAGTTGACCCTCCAATGGGAGTTCAGAGGCAGTAAATCCCGTGGGAGTAGACTGCCCATCCTTTTTCCACCAGGCCAATGTGGGGTGCTTTGCCGAAGTTAACTCATTCAATCCTTATAACTACCTACATTGAAGTGAAAATACCGAGGCTCAGAGAAGTAAAGCAATTTGCCTAATGTCAACACATCCAGTACTTTGTAGGGCTGATATCTGACCCAGGCAAGCCATGCTTTTTAAATAGTACTATTTGCTTACCCTAAAAATAAAACCATAGTGGGGAGTTCTGGTGACCTAGTGGCAAGAATCTGTACTGCAATCCAAGAGGTACATGGTTCGAATCCACTAACTCTGCTGAAGAAAGAGGAGCAATCTCCTCCTGTACCAGTCAGATCCGATTTGATGGTACACACACACATATACAAAATAATAATAAGAAAAAACCAACCACAACACATGCAAAAAAAACCCATAGTCTTGTTCTTTTGCTTCTCTTTAACTAGGGGATACCAACTTTAGCATGACATTTATAGACTACATGACTTAGGAACTTTGAAATTCCTATTAGTCTTTAAAAGCACATTTATAAAAAAATTCTAGTTTCTAACTAGATTGTACTGTACATTTCAAAAAAACGTACTATGTCCATCTGTTCATCATATATTACTTAGAACCTAGCATCTGATATGTAACAGACATGCAGAAAATATTTATCAAACAAATCAAACAGCTTCATGTTTATAAGATAATTTTGCATTTAATGCAACAAAATATTTAATCCAAGTTGTTTCATGGAAATGAATGCTGCCAAAAGATCAGTTCTTTTAAAAGTTAAGTTTTAAAACTGACAAAGAATATTATATGAAGAAGGAATCCTTAGAGGGTATGGAGGAAAAAGGAATGTTACAATACATGAAACAAAATAGCATGATAATTTAAACTAAATTTACCTTACCTTTGAGCCATCTAAACTGATTATTCTATACACATTTCTTGTGCTGTCATAAAAATAAGACACAGTAACTGCGTGCTTGCTGGTGGGTACCCAGTTCTTCTTTGTGTTTGGGTCAATCTGGAAGACATGAGCTCGAGTGCTGAAGATGGGTTGTTCCCTGCAAGGCAGAAAAGAAAAAAAAAGTATCTAGTTGAAAGCAGCCAGTTCTAGCCCATTGGACATGAAAACCATATTGTGCTTAATAACCTGCTACTCCATATCTTCTGAAATGAAAAACTCCTCTACAAATGTCAATAGTTCTAACTATACAATCATTAGCTCTTTTAGAAGTTCCTGTTCAAAAGCATTATATATGATCTTTCAGCCATTTACACCTCTATTATTCTGATAGAAGACAACTTACTGGGAAGACATGTATTCAGTTAAGTATCTATTAATTTGAAAAGTAATGGGAAACAAAAGTTGCTCTCTAACAAAAACTTTCATTTAGCCCAAATAAGAGCTTGCTATTAGAAAACAGGCTTTAAAATTATTATTTCAAGAAATGGAAGTATTTATATACTTAAATATTATATTTATTATATAATTTTTATAATTTAAAAAGGAAAGAACGAGCTGGGATACATATAATAGAGTAACAGAAAAGGAAAATAGCATTGTAACACAAAACTCGCAAATTTTGAGTAAAGAGCATTTACAACAGGTTTACCCCTCTCCCAATAAATAAAACTTATTTCTTCACAACAGCCAAAATGCAGAAACCGCCTAAGTGTTCATCAACAGAAGAATGAGTAAACAAGATGTGGTACAGATAAACAATGGAATGAGAGAGCCATAAAAAAGAAATGAAGTCTTGATACATGCTACAATATAACTGAACTTCAAAAATACCAAATTAAAGAAATCAGTCATAAAAGGACAAACACTATATGATCAGCTTGCATGCAGTCTCTAAAATAGGGTCTCGTACACACCAAAATACATAAGTAATTATTGGGGCAGAAGAGAGGGAGGCTTTAAAGGGTGATTTGGAGTCAGTGAGCTTTTCTTAAAGTGTAAAAGAAATGGACAAAGGTGATGGTTGAACAAGACAAACATAACAAATGCCACTGAAGTGTACAAGTAAAGAATATGGAAATATTAAGTGTTCTGTAATACTTGGAATTTAATACTAAATGTATTAATACTTCCCATGGGGACGGGAAAAAAATCTATGTAAATGTCACTGTTGTTGTTAAATGCCATCAAGTCAGAATGAACTCATAATTGACCATCAAGGGTGTTTTCTGAAGCTGTAAATCGCACCAGAGACTGCTCATCTTTCTCCTGCAAAGCAGCTGGTGGATTCAAACCACCTACCTTTGGGTTAGCAGCATAACTTTTCTCGTCAACTTCAACGCCTAGTGCCCTTCTGAACATCTATGAATTTTGCCCTATTGCATGTCATACACACGATGTCAGAAATGCATGAATCCGTATTATACCCAATGTGCCATTCATCTTGCTGAGGGTCTTTCTCTGACTCCCTACATTTACCAGCCGGACAACATGCTTGAAGTATGTGAGATGGAGTTTCACTATCCTTGCCTCTAAGAAGCAACCTGTTGCATTTTTTCTAAGACACAATTACTTGGTTTTTGGGTTTTTGGTTTCTTTTTACAGTTGATGGAATATGCAATACTCTTCTCCTTATCCTCTAGGCCCATCAGATATATATTGTTGTGGTTGTTGTTATGTGCCGTCAAGTCGCTTGCAACTCATAGCGACCCTACGTACAACAGCCCTAAACTCTGCTCTGTCCTGTGCTAATCACTCTGTCCCTGACACACCCATCCCGATTACCCCAGTCACTGAATCAATTGCCTCATTGAGGGTCTTCCCCTCCTGCGCTGTCCCTCCAGCCTACCAAGCATGATGTCCCTCTTCAAGGACTGGTCCCTCCTTACAACATGTCCAAAGTATGTTAGATGGAGCCTCAGATTCCTTGCCTCCAAGGGGTCGCCTGGTTTAACCCTTTCCAGGATGAATCTGTTTGCTTTCCTAGCAGTCCATGGTACCTTCAATACTCTTCTCCGGCATCACAGCTCAAAGGCATCAATTCTCCTTCTATCCTCCCTAGTCACTGTCCAACTCTCTGATGCATAACAAGTAATTGCAAAGACCATGGCCTGTATCAGACGCACCTTAGTCTCCAGAGAGACACCACTGCTCTTCAATACTTTGGAGAGATACCTAACAGCAGACTTTCCCATGGCAATGTGCCTTTTAATTTCCTGGCTACTGGTACCAAGAGTGTTGACTGTGGAGCCAAGCAAACTAAAGCTGTGAACAATCTCAATCTCTTCACCATCCACCCTGATGCTGCCAATTGGCTCAGTGGTTAGAATCTTTGTCTTCTTGACATTGAGCCTCAATCCATATTGGAGGCTGCAGTCCTTGACCCTCTGCAGCAAGCACTTCAGGTCCTCCTCAGTTTTGGCAAGCAGGGTTGTGTCATCTGCATATCGCAGATTGTTGATAGATCTTCCATCAATCTTGACCCCAAATTTCTCCTCATAGAGCCCAACCTCCTGGATAATCTGTTCTGCATACAGGTTGAAAAGGTATGGAGACAGGAAACATCCCTGGCATACGCCCTTCCCAATTTTGAACCATGCAGTGCTTCCTTGCTCTGTTCTGACGACTGCCTCTTGGTCCAAGTATAGGTTTCTCATTAGCACAATCAAGTGTTCTGGGATTCCCATTCTCCTCAGAGTCAGCCACAATTTGTTATGATCTACACAAATGCCTTTGCACAGTCAACCAAACATTGATATACACATTCCTCTGGTATTACCTGCTTTCAGCTAAGATCTATCTAACATTATCAGATATATATACTACTATAAAAAAATAAAGTTTATTTCTTTCACTTATTTAACATTTTCTTTCCTATAACAGTTCAAAGTCCTTAAGGCAAATTTCAGAAAAGAGAGAAATTAGAATAATAGGCAAAATCTGCATCCTTGGGAACACAGCTCTTTAAGTTACTAATAATGGGCTGGATGTCATACATGCCCCTGTATCTACTTCAGTCCTCAGAAGTGCAGTGGGAAAGGGAGGTACTGTCTTTGTAGGTAACCTGGACCTTTTGTTTCGGGAAAACGCCATAACAACTTTTCTGTTCAGTTCATCTCTTTAGAAATGAAGTGATCCATTTTGTACCATTCCCTACAAAATGAGGCAGCAAATGTTCATTTCTTGTTTAACTGTGATTATATGTGAAGTCATTCAGTACATAATTGTTTACCCGCTGGAGATGCACTGTGCCAGCCTGAAGAACTTCCTTCTCTCATTATTAAATTCCTGACTTTTTATTCACAAGAGTGATAACTTAACAGCCCGGGTTATCTTTGAAAAGTCCTATAACCTCTATCTTTTTAGCCTTTTAATGAAAGTTCTAAATATAAGTGTAGCTGGTCAGACTGACTGACTAGTTAGTTCTAGTTCACAGAGACATCCAAGGATGAAAAATTCCATCTCAGTATTAAGTTGTTTTTGTTGTTAAGTACTGTCACACCTATATACACAGGTGCATACACAACACACCTGTATACACAGACACGTGCACATGCACATACACACACCACACCTATACACACACACACGTGCATATACACCATGCCCATACACACACATATGTACTATAGCTGACCCTCTGGCGGGTTTTCAGAGGCCGTAAATCGCATGCGAGGTCTGTAAAGCAAGAGTAAGACACTCTAATGTTTACTATTTTTCTTCTCATTTGAGGATGTATATGATGTAAGACACTAATTAAAAAAATGTGTTCTAGTAAGAATATTTTATAATTATTAGGCAATGATACTGCTTTTGCAAGGCTCACGGAACTCAATAACAGATCCTAACTCAATAGAAACACATTTTGAGTAAACACATCATACAATTCCCTTGTGAATAAAAATTTTTAAGCTGGTCATCTTTTTTTTATTAATTTCAATGAACATTTATAGAGATTTTGGATTTCCATTCATTAATTGTTGCCCTTTTTCCCCACCCACCCCACCCCCTGTTCTCTCTTCTCCTTGAAAAGCAAAAGAAAAACTCCTTCATTGGTACACAATGCCCCCAACACCCCTCCCATCCCCATCCCGAGTATACTACACTCTCCAACCCTCATTCTGAACTCTTATGATAATCATAATGCCCTAAAAGATATTGCATTTAAACTGTTCTGTCCCTCATCAGCTTCAATGCCGTATACATAATTAATCCAGTTCTTCTCATTCTTACAACCCTGATGTCAGTCCCATTTTACAACAGCAGTACCATGCAGTATTTGTCCTTTTGTGACTGAAATATTTCACTTAGCATAATGTCCTCCAGGGTCACCCATTTTTAATAATATTGCATGAGTTCCTTGTTTCTCAATGCAGTGTAGTATTACATTGTGTGAATATACCACAGCTTCTCTATCCATTCATTTGCTGATAGGCACTTCGGTTGTTTGCAACTCCTTGCTATTGTGAACAAAGCCACAATAAACATGGGTGTGCATATATCTGCTTGGATGTCGGTTATGGTCTCTTTAGGGTATATTCCCAGTAGTGGAACTGCTGGGTCAAACGGTATCTCTATTTGAAACTTTTTGAGAAAGCGCCACACCACTTTCCACAGTGCTTGCACCACTTTACACTTCCACCAACAGTGAATAAGGATTCCAGTCTCTCCACAACCTCGCCAGCATTTGTTGCTTGCTGTTCTGTTAAATTTTACTAGTCTTACTCTTACTGGGGTGAGATGATATCTCATAATTGTCTTGATGTGCATCTCTCTTAGAGCTAGGGATTTTGAACATTTCTTCATGTGCTTGTTGGCCACCTGAATGTCTTCTTTGGTGAAGTGTCTGTTCATATCCTGTGCCCATTTTTCTATTGGATTATTTACCTTTATCTTGTGGTGCTCAAGTATTTTATAAATTCTAGATATAAGTCCCTTATCTGACATGTCATTACCAAACACTTTTTCCCAGTCTGTGGCTTCCCTTTTTACCGTGTTGGAGAAGTTTTTGGATGTGCATAGGGATTTGATTCTTAGAAGGTCCCATTCATCTATTTTATCTTCTCCTAGTTGTAGATTTTCCAGGATACTGGGACTGTT